ACCTGTTACAACTACATATTTACGAGAGATAATATGATTGATGTTAGTTATCAGTGCGAGGTTTTGAATTTTTCGTTGAACACACATAATATTTCTCAAAACCACATCAGTGAAAATGAGGAGAACGATCAGCTTCCTTTTTGAGAATAAGAGAAGATATTTAAATCAACATAATATTTTGAATTCTTTGAATTGTAGTATGGACTAGGAATTCCAGGATTAACGCAATTGAATTAAGAAGACACAGGCACAAACGAATGTATTGTATTTAGAATTCGAAATCAAGCATTCAACCAGTACAAAGTTTTCATTGGTTCGTTCAAACACCACATCCTCCACAGCTTAAATTGGAGTTTAGGTGTTTGTAATCAATCGTACGTCTTCTTCTCAAATTCATCCTGAGTCTGTCTGACATTGTATTGGATAAGGATTCTGTATTATCTAGAATATGCTCATTAGCATTAGAATTAACAATCGAAATTGGAACTGACTCACCTGGTTCCTGAATTTGTATTTGATCTACATGTCGACTGTGTGTACTTAAGTCATCGATGTCTAGAATTCGCACCATCGATTTTTCGACATTCTTCAGAACAATACCCGTAGATGGTCGAAGATCATTTCCTCGATAGTATGTAACTTCTGCAGACTCCAGACATCTCATATTCGACCGAAGAATTCTTCCTTTCAATAGCTTCGCTGGAGTCTCCTTCGTCACCGAATGTTTGGCATTTCTATATTGCAATAGAAAGGTATCTACTCCCCTCTCCAGCTCATTAAATGTTGAGGGGGCTGTAGAATCAATAGCAGTCTTTAATGTCCTAACAAAATTCTCTGCCTGACCATTAGAACATGGATGTCTGGGAGCAGTAAATAGATGTTTGCACCCTATACCGTTCAACCAGGTAGTGGCTGCATCTGCAGCAAAATGTGAGCCATTATCAGTCACCAACACCAAGGGAACACCTTCTCGACTAAACACCTTTCTTAATGCTTGTATTGTGAAATCAGAATTTGGTGAAGTTGTGAAAAAAACTTCAGGCCACTTTGAAAAAGAATCAATGACTACTATTGCGTAGTATTTACCAAGAAATGGTCCACAATAGTCAGTATGAATCCTCTGCCAGGCCTCAGACGATACTGGCCATGGCACCCACTTCGAAGGATGATTTTTCAACTGATGACATTTCTCACAATTGTTTGCCGTACGACATATATCTGCATTTATCTCTGGCCACCAGCATATGAGCCTTGCCAAGGACTTCATTTTCTCAACACCTAAATGACCACTATGAAGATCTTCAAGAACAGATTTACGCAATGAAGGAGGAATGACAACACGATCATTTAAACACATAATACCATCAGGAGTAGTAGATAGCTCATCACGCTTTGAAAAATAGATAGGAAATCTCCGTTTCAAATTAGCATTCCAACCTTTCCTTATAGCACTGAGTATACATCCAAAATATCTGCGAGTTTCTCTAATGAGATCTGAACGTCTCACTGGTAAAGGTCGCACTAACAAACAATCCGAAGTATTAATAGGTTTATCTTGTAATGACTGTCGAGAAATGTAATCAACATGTTGAATCTGTTTGGCACTTCTGTGCTGAACCGTATAGTCATATGCACTCAAAGCAATACTCCATCGCTGAACCATAGCTGCTGAGGAACGTGCTAAGGATTTTTCGGGATGATAAATAAACTTTAAAGCTTCATGATCAGTAACAATAGTGAATTTCTTTCCGAATAAATATTTATGAAGTCTTTTAACAGCCCAAAACACAGCTAATGCTTCTCGCTGAGTCTGTGAATAACCTTGTTCAGTAACAGTAAGTTTGCGTGAAACACAAATAACTGGTCTACCTTCCTGTTCCAAAACTGCACCAATTCCCACAGGTGATGCATCAGTAATAAGCACAGAATGTACATTAGGGGAGTACGTTCGAAGAACAGCATCACTTTGAAGAAACTTCAGCAGACTTCGTAAGCATGACTCTTGTTCCTCACTCCATTTGAATGAATTGGATGTTAAAATATTAAATAAACAATTTGCACGACAAGAAAAATTAGGAATAAAACGGGAATAGTATTGAAGAGCACCCACTAGTGAACGTAATTCTGTAAGATTTTTCGGAGACGGTGCATTAGTCAGTGGAGCTAGTCGTTTCATATCTGGTCTAAAACCATTACCATCAACTAGGTATCCAAGGCATTCAAAACTAGATACACAAAATGAACACTTATTTGGATTCACTGTTATATTCTTCTCAATTAAACGACGCAATAAAGCAATAAGTCTCTGGTCATGAACTACCTTATTAGAGCCATGAACAATGAGATCATCTTGATAAACTTCAACACCTTCAAGATCACTAACTACTTTATTCATAACTTCCTGAAATATGGCTGGAGAACAACTTAGACCAAATGGAAGGAAATTGTATTTGAACAGACCAAAAGGAGTGTTAATTGTCGTCAAAATAGATGAAGATTCATCTAAAGGAATTTGAAGATAAGCATCTTTTAGGTCAACTTTCGAGAACACTTTAGAACCATGAAGTCGATTTAGAATATCTTCAGCTTCTACCGTCGTGCACGTTTGCTTCAACAAACGGGAATTCAGAGTTAATCTATAGTCACCACAAATTCTAGGGGTCTTGCCGTCCGACTTCAGTGGCGTAACGATAGGAGTACCCCATGCTGAAGACTGAATTGGTTCAATTATGCCTTTCACACACAAATCGTTTAATGTCTTATGTACTGCTTCTCGAAGACCATAAGGAATTATTCGTCTTTTAAGAAAGACGGGATCACCCTGTACTTGAAGTTTTATAGGCTTAATTTTCATACCTCCACTGCACTTAGCACACATAGCTATCAAATCTTTAAGTAAAGTATCAGAATTTTCTTTAGAAACTAAGAAGGACAACTCCACCTTAAGCCTTTTCAAATTCTTTAAACCCAATATTGACAGTCCTGTTTCGCTAACTAAAAATTCACAAGGTATGTATGAAGAATTATCATCTCTGATTAGCAATTCACAACATCCTCGTATGGGCAGTCTGTGTCCAGTAATCCCCAGTATTGATACTTCAGTGGGTCGTACAACAACGTTAGGATCTAAAGCTTTCAAGTTCTTGAATGAAATAATGGACTCTATACTGCCTGTGTCCAGAATAAAGTCATGAAATGAACCAAGCGATGTATATAGTCGCTTCTGAATATGAGCATTACCTTTCGAAATAGTAGACAAAGATAAATGATCACTAGAAACATCCGAATTATTGAAATTTAAATTACAAGATTTAGTACAGCTTGAAGCAAAATGGACAGTAGCTTTGCATACTGACTGAATGTGTCCTACCTTACCACATTTAAAACATTTAGCATTACGAAATACACATGAATTGCGAGCATGAAACTTTCCACATGATAAACATTTACCAAACTTCATCTCACCTTTGTGATTTGCTTTGTAATTCCTCGTTGAAACACCTTTCATATTTACACGAGAATAGGAATCACTGTTAAATGAACGCAAGTTTGATTGACCCTGAGATTGTAGTTCATCACGACGACTAAGCAAAGTATTAGAAATCTTCATCGACTGGATATCAAGTTCATTGACTGCTTCGTAGTTAATACATGCAGTTCTAGCATCTTGAAAGGAACAGTTTGGCATTTTTAACAGCTCTCTTTCCAAACTCGGTATGTTAATTCCTGCAATTAATCGATCTCTCAGTTGCACATGAAGTTGATCACCGAAATTACACTTGGCAGCTTGTTTCTGTAATTCAAGGATGAATTCCCGAGCCTTTTGGTCATTTTGACGAACCATCTTATGAAACTTCGCCCTTTCACGGCATTCAAAACTGGTGCATTTTACATGACTTAATAATAGCTCTTTAAGAGTTGCATAAGGGAGTGAGATAGGTTTTTCTGGATATGCCAAAGTTTTTAATAAGCTGTACGCTTCTCTCCCAATGAATGTCAGAAAATGTGCCACAATATTAACACCTTTAACATCTTCCTTGGTCATGCTCCAGATTTCGAACCTTTCCAAATAATCCTCAAAAGCTTCAGGAGTTGAATGAATATCTAACTTTTCCATTGCAGGCTCCATCGCGACGCCAATATAATATTTAATTGTCGTATGAACTAGGAATTCCAGGATTAACGCAATTGAATTAAGAAGACACAGGCACAAACGAATGTATTGTATTTAGAATTCGAAATCAAGCATTCAACCAGCACAAAGTTTTCATTGGTTCATTCAAACACCACAATCAAACAATCCATTCTTAGAAACTTAACCTGGACAGGCCCGTATCTCACTTGTCGTGGTTACTCTCCGGACTAATAGAAACAGGACTTGATAAAGAGCCTGTTTAATAGGATTGATTGTATTTTCACGAACGATGCTAATGATGACGAAGTGAGTTTGTTGAAGAAAACATTGATGGAGAATGGTTACCCTTTAAAATTCATAAGTCGATGAGTAGTATACAATAAGTGAAACATGGATGAAAAGAATGGTATTTGGCTATCATTATAAGTGGTAATTCCTAAAGTTTCTATTTCAATTTATATCAATGACATGAAGCTATCTCTTTGTGTTGAAACTACCACTTCTAGTGTTTCGGTAAAATTGTTCACAGAGAAATAGGAAGCAACAGTAAAGCCCTACTATGCCTGACATGACTACACAATGATATGCTTAGCAGGTTTGCAGTTTTTTCGATGACAGAAGTACATTTAAGTTTATCAATTCGAAGTTATTAGTAAACATTACTGCAATGAAATAACAACTTGAAATTCAGAAAATTGAAATTCCAAAATTAAGTGGCTAAAACCTAGAGGTAATAGATCTTATAGAGTGCATTTTAATGAGAGTGGAAAACTGGAAGAACATTCATATTTGTTTGAGCTCTTGAAAAGTCAAGGCAGTTTTGTGTTACGCGTTTGTAGTTTTTTAACTATCGTTTCACGTTTGCATGGCCTTTGCTTTTTTCCTGCAGCTTGAGACATATCAGGCTTGTGTTTATGTTGAAAAAAATTTCGAACTTTGTGACATATATTTGGCAGCGGCTGACGTTGTAAAAAAGCTGGTAGGTTTTTAAAGTATCGTGATTATTGTTATTATAGGTATCTACTCGAGATGAGAGTAAGATAGTGGACAATATTACACTCTACTGCAACAAAGATAATACAATTGATGGTTATTGTCAAGTTACAAGCACTTCGGATATAGTTTCTGGCTGCGTGATTCAAATTGTTCTAAATGGTAACTTCAAAATTCCATGTAATTGGTTCACTTTATGAATTTAAATAAAGCCAGAACAAATATTGATGCAGAAAATATGAAATCAGTTTATTTGAAAGTTTTGCGTCAGCTGCTTACAACCAAGTATGTATTAGAATCTAACATTGGGCTTAAGTTCCAATACATATTTGGTTGTAAGCAGCTGACGCGAGACCTCGAAATAAAATGAATTCATATTATTCTGCATCGATACGTTTTCTGGTTTTATTTAAATTTTAAAATTTTTTGACAATTATTTTAACATCTGGAACATTTTACTACTTCTCACACTGTATTCATGAGACGCAGTTTATGTAGTTGGAATTTTTGATATGCTTTTACACGTGGTAATACTTTCGTTTATTTGAATGTAATCTGTCTGAAATTTTGTCAAAATTCGAGGCAGGTCAATTGGCAGTGTTTTAAGAAACCAATTCGACAAAATATTTATGAGCTGATACTTACGGAATTCCTTAAATTAAGCCGTAGTGTTTGACGACGACAAGAGTACGATTTTTTTCATACAACTCAACAACTTTCGAGAAATCAGCTTTTTTAGTGCAAGTTTTTGATACAAATCCATTTTTCGTCTTATTTTATCCTGGAAGGTTAATGGATAACGAAGATAGTGCGCTTTCCGACAAAATATATCACGATTGTTTTGTGATCCTTCCAAGTGTTTTTTCCTATTTGACCAACAGAAAATTAGAGTTTCATAGGTTCCAAAATTATTATGTTAGCAGCAATGGAACCGACTGGCTTCTTTCTATGAACATTTATTTTAACTAGTTTTTGTTAATCCCACTAATCACATTTCAGTTAGTTTTCCAAGATGCTTGTTGTTTCGAGAGTGGGCTGAACAGAACTCATTTATGCATCATATCAAATACAACAATCTACTGGAAACAAGAAATTTATCTTTCTTCGCCTAAAGTTAGTAATTAGTAGCACAATAACACTTTTTAAGGTTGCAGACATATAGTGGTTAAAATTTACAAGTTAAAACAATGAATATCATCATTATGCTCATCTGTTGTCAAGAAATAAGGATGTATTTAGATGATTTTAATGAGTACCATGATTTAAAGCAAAACAATACACACATATTCCTAAAAAGCATGAACACACTTTTACATTTATTTGGCCTCAGTGAATTTTTGTTATAAAGTGGAAAATTTACTTTTTACAGACGTATTGTATCCTCAAATAGTATGGGTTTAATATTACACAAATATTTTGAAAATTGTAAAAACCAAAATCTCCTCTAATTGTTAGATAGTGATAATATACGTCTTAACTGGTTTGGTCGGTCATAACTTCTGATCAAAAGTAAAATGGAGCTGGAAAAAAGTGCTTGAACACATAACAGATTTTATTTTCCTTAAGTTTAGCGTTTAACAGATAAGTAACCAAAAGTATTTTTTCATAGAGATAGTATGATACGACTTATAGAGTGGCGTTCAGGTGCAGCCTAATTACTTATTGACTGACACATTTTGAAGCATGAGTGACTTAAAAGACTTTATCGAAATGGAAATAATCACTGAAACATCAACCTTTTGAAGTGGGTGGTGTAGGCGGAAAGAAATCATGCTGACATAGCAGTATGGAAAATATGCCTATTCTCAGACTTGCGTTTGCTATAAAGCACAGGATCAATTATAAATAAATAATGGGTTTTTAGAATATGGATTATATCTTTCTATTTTTACACGCCTTCCGGTAAGTACTGCGGTTGATCATCTAAAGTCGTTGTGATCTGCCTTCAAAATCGACTGTATAAATAATAGTATCAGAAATAATCATCAATTGGTAAAAAGATGCACAATTTACTTTCTTTAACGCTGAATGGTTTAAAATATTATACTGATCAACAATGCGAGTAATATGGGACTATTTACACCGAATTTTACGTTTGAATAAAAATCCTTAAAATCAAGTAGTTTTACTTATATGATTGGTGCTAAATAAGTGGAATTTTGAAGTTCAAGTTCACAATAGGTGGATTACGTTTAGTAGATGTCTCTACTTGTAAGGAGGCTATCGAGAGTACTACTCTTTTTAAAAAAGTATGGTACTAAGTTTTGATGAAAATTGTATGCCTGTATTTTTCACACCATTAAAGAATTCAGTTTCATATTTTTATCATCGTATTGTTGGTTAAAAATTTGCATTTTTTACTTTTATTTTTTCTGCCGTTGATCCATGGTTTTGTAGTTGCATAAAAACGCGCTAAGTTTGTGAGTGAATAAAGTCAGTCGTTAATTCCATACACACTTTAAATGTCTTATATCCCACAATAATTTTGTCGATTCATCTGTATAAGTTTAGGATCCTATTGGAACATTGTGACTTATGTTGGTAAATTGGCTAATGATTAGTACATTTACAAGCTAAATAGGTATGCATTACTAAAGTGGAAACTAGGGCAATAATTTGCTTTTAGTCGTCATTGTACATACATTATTATTCAGTTTTGAGTGGTATTGATTTAAGGATATCCATATTTTTACATCTATAAACAGATTTCTATCTATATCACTATTAGAAGGAGTTTGAAGTATGCGACTTTTGATGTTCTTGACTGAATAGATTCAGGGGCAAGACTCTAATTTATGGACGAGCCAGTCAGAGGCATTTTAGAGATTTCAAGTTTACGGCGCCAACTTCCGTGCTTAATGCTAACGTGCGATTGGTTAACAGGGAATTTTGTACAAAACGTAATAATTTAGAGGCTATAAGAAATAAAACGGCGGGACTATAATTTGTTGACGAATCAATCAGGTATAAGATAATAGATCTCGGATTTAGGCACGAAAGCCTTTCCTCCATTCGGTTAAATAAATTTCTGCAATTATAGCTGATGTCCGTTCGTGATGAAAACCCCATATATGATTCCTAACCAAGACAAATTACGACAATTATTAATAAAACTTACTTACTTACGCCTGTTACTCCTCGTGAAGGAGCATAGGCCGCTCACCAGCATTCTCCATCCAACCCTCTGCTGGGAAATCCTTTCTAGCTCTGTCCAGTTGTAATTCATCGTTTTCATATCTGCTCCTATTTCACGAAGTAATGTGTTTGTTGGCCTTCCTCTTTTTCGCTTCCTTCACGATTCCAAGCTAGTGCTTGCCTCGTAATGCAGATTGATTATTCGTGTAATATATGTCCTATCCATTTCAATCGTCTTTTCTTAATTCCCTCTTCAGATGGAAGTTGGTTTGTTCTCTCCCACAGAAGGCTATTGCTGATGGTATCCGGCCAATGGATGTTGAGTAGCATGCGTAGACAACCATTTATAAATACTTGTACCTTCTTGATGATGGTTGTTGTAGTTCTCCAAGTTCCAGCTCTGTACTGTAGAACTGCCTTGACGTTCGTATTAAAGATTCTCACTTTGATATTAGTTGATAGGCGGTTGTTTTGAGTTCCATATGTTCTTCATCTGCATGAATGCTGTCCTTGCTTTGCCGATCCTCGCCTTCATGTCTGCATCTGAACCTCCTTGTTCGTCGATTATGCTTCCCAGGTATGTGAAGGATTCCGCACCTTCCAGAGTTTCGCCATGAAGAGTGATTGAATTGCTGTTCTTCGTGTTGTATTTGAGGACCTTGGTTTTCTCCTTGTGTATGTTAAGGCCAACTGATGCAGAGACTGTTGCTACACTGGTTGTCTTTATCTGCATTTGTTCGTGTGTATGGGGTAAGAGAGCTAGGTCACCTGCGAAGTCCAAATCGTCTAATTGGTTCCGAGCTGTTCATTGTATGCAGTGTTTTCCCTCAGATGTTCAGGTCTTCATAATCTGGTCGACCACCAGAAGAAAGAGGAAGGGAGAGAGTAGACAGCCTTGTCTTACTCCGGTCCTTACTTGGACTGCATCTGTCAGCTGTCCTCCATGCACGTCCTTGCACTGCAGTCCGTCGTATGAGTTGCGGATAATATTGACAATCTTCTCAGGAACTCCGTAGTGTCGAAGAAGTTTCCATAATGTCCTCCTATCTACACTGTCAACTGCCTTTTCATAATCAATGAAGTTGATGTATAGTGATGAGTTTCACTCAACTGATTGTTCAACGATGATCCGTAGTGTTGCAAGTTGGTCTGTGCACTATCGATCCTTACGGAATCCAGCTTGTTGATCTCGAAGTTGGGCGTCTACTGCGTCCTTCATCCGGATAATAAAAGCACCCGTAAAACTGGCTGCAGTCAGGTACTAAAATATATAGACGGATGTTTGGAGAGCGTACAGACTCCTACATAGGCTTGGTTATGTGCACCATGTTGTTATCCACAAGTAGCATTTTGTGCATTCAACAACCGAAGTGCACATAGACAATATTGAAGCCATGTGGTCGAGGCTGAAAGAGTTTTTAAGACTTTACCATGACTCCAGATGCCGACTATTCTGTAGCCGTCTGGGTGATTTCCTCTACTTCATGCATTACGATTTTAGAACCTTTCTAAACTTGACAAGGTTTTGAACCACGTATAAGAATCGTATCCACTTTATTTCCATGGTTTTGTATAATATATTTTAACTCTATACTGTGTGCTGACAGGCTAATATTTCTCAAGGTCAATTAAGATTCGTTCAAAGGTCGTCTATAAATTAAAGTTTTGTCGATTCAGGTGCATTCAACTAACGAGTCCCAAATAGGATAAATTACGCACCCTGAATTTCATTGTTATCTATAAATCTTTTAAGGAAATAAAGGGGATACAACCATTTTAAAGCAGAAAAAATATTCAACTATGTCATTTAACTGTAACTTTAGAAGATAGATATATGTGATTTAAATTGTTTGAAATATATCTTTTTAATTCATAAATTTTCAGACAGATTAACTTGATATCATCTAGGGGTTCTAATTGTCTTTTCCTTTTCTATTTAAATCATGGAACTTGAATTCTTTTGAATTTATTTCATTCCAATTAAATGAACAGTATCTTTAGTATTTTAAAAAGAATTTTATCCAAGG